AGAGGGGGCGGACCAAGAAGAGCGGGGGCGGGGGGTGGGACGGAGTGCGGTAGGGGAAGAGGCGGTAGTAGGGTACCGACTCGTCGAACGTGACGTCCTGGGAGGACAGAACACGTCGAGAGGTGGGGTGGTAGAACTGCCACCCAGGGGCGTCGGGGGGGAACCCCAGGAAGACACAGGGAGCAGCGCGAGGGGACAGCTTGTCCGCAGACAAGTCGCGGACAAACGCCCGAGATCCCCAGACCCGGAACACCGACGCATCGCCAACCTTCCCCGTCCATAGCAGGGCTGGGGAGGTCTCCGGCTTGGAGACCCTGGGGTGGAGGTTGATCTGATGCGCCGCGTACCTGACCGCAAACGGCCACAGAAAATGGGGGGCAGCCGCATGCATCATAGACGTACGAGCGACGTCCATGACCATGCCAATGCGGCGCTCAGCAATCCCATTTTGCTGCGGTGAGTCTGGAAGCGTGAAGGTCTGGCGGATGCCTCGCGCACGACAGTAGGCACGCAGAAGGCCAGAGGAGAACTCTCCACCTCTGTCCGAGTGCAGACGCAACACCGGAAAGTCCGAGCCAAAGCTCTGCCTGAGCTGGAGACGAGCTGCGCGGATCCAGTCGATCAACACCTCAGTGACATCACCCTTGCTGCGCAAGGGAAAGAGTGTAGTGTAACGCGAGTAGTCGTCAACCACCAACAGGAAGTAGCGCTCGTGACCGAGTCCACGGACGCGGGCAGGGCCCCACACGTCCATGTGAAGCGTCTGCAACGGAGCCTCTGTCGCAGGAAACTGGGAGGAGTGAGGGGCAGCACGCTGGCGCCCCTCGACACAGGAGACACAGGCAGGGCCAGGGCCCTGAGGAAGGGGAGGGAGGGACCGGGGGAGACCAGACACAAGAAGACGAGAGGCCATGCCTCTGAGCCGAAGCAGAGAGGGGTGGCCAAGGCGGTGGTGCCAGAGGAGGGTCTCGTGAGAAAGACGGCGACACGAACAGGGGGCAGACTCAGGACCAGACCTGGACGCTGCAGCAAACACCTGACCGACGAAGGGACGCTACCAGACTCAGCACCTGGAGGAGAAGCAGTGGTCAGTGTGTACAGGCTCGACCCAGGCTGACGTGTAAACGTAGCCAGGTGACGACCCGTGCTAGCCTCTGTGCAGTGCGTCACTCGCTGATGAGCAGGGGTGAACTGGTGTACTCCCACATCCTGTAGGTCAGCACCACTCACCAAGTTCGTAGAGAACGAGGGGAGGTAGAGACCAGACAGGGTGCCAGAGGGAGCCGCCGGACACGGGAGGACTGTGGAGAAGCGAGACAGGACAGGACCCCCAGAGGGGTCAGCCAGGGAAACCGCAACAGGCCGACTAAGCGGCGTGAGTGTGGTGCGGTCCCGAAAGAAAGAGCGAGACGCTCCAGAGTCAAGAGTGAAGGTGAGGGAGGCCGAAGCCGACGCAGTACCTGAGAGCGCAGACGCACTAGTACCTGAGAGAGCAGCCTCACCAGCACCTGAGAGCACAGACGCACTGGCACCTAGAGCAGAAGCCTCACCGGCACCTAGAGCAGCAGTACCAATGCCCGGGTCAGGCGGGAAACACCGGTAACAGTCACCCTCATCACTAATGGTCACAGCATACATGGCAGCAAGGATAGCATCTAAATCAAGATCAAAGATAGCCACACCATCCCTAGACAGCTCTCCCCAGCGGGGGATCTCCGCGGCCTCCGGGAACTGCTGGCGCCAAGCGTCCGTCAGGCGGCCAAAGCAGCGCTGGGCGTGGTGGGTGCCCCCACACTGCTCTCCAGCGCGGTCGCCAGTGCGGAGAACGTAGGTGCAGGGACCAAAACCCCCACTGCGCTGACGCTGCGTGTACCACTCACGGAGCTGCTGAGGGGTGGGGACGTCGCGAGAACGCTGCTGCTGCTGCTGCTGGCGCTGACCTCCCCTAGTGCCGCTCCGCTGCGAAGCTCCACTCCTACCACCTCCACCTCCGCCACCCCCGCCTCCACCTCCACCTCCCCCGCCTCCGCCTCCACCGCCGCCACCTCCGCCACCTCCGCTACCACCGCCACCGCCGCCGCCACCCCCGCTTCCACTGCCGCCACTAGCACCCCCACCTCCGCTACCACCTCCACCGCCACTCCCACTCCCTCCGCCGCCTCCACCTCCACCGCCCCCACTGGCCCCACCCGCTCCCTTGCCCCCTTTGCCCTTGCCAGAGCGGCGTCTCCCGCTAGGGGCAGACGCCGCACCGACCGACTCAAGACCAACGAGGTCGGCCGCAGCGGCAGAGGCGACAGAGGGCAGGAGAAGGGAAGGAGAACACCCCTCAAAGATGGGGGCGCGGGGGTCACCTCGAGAGGCTCCTATAGCAACTATGCTCTTCTCTGCTGCAAGGAGGGCCTTCTCGAGGCTGTCGACTGTGAGGGTTGTGGGACAGACCGCGAGGAAGTGGTCCCGGACTACACGAAGGGAGTCAGGGAGGCGAGTGACTAGGAAGTAGAGAGTGATGTACATGGGGGGGGGGTTCTTGGCGCAGAAGCCAGCAGGAAGCGCAGCGCGGTAGCGAGTGTCACTAGTGCGGAGGTGCGTGATGAGATCAGCGACAGTGGGAAAGGCGGCAAGGTCAGGGAAGAGGAAGGGGAGCATGAGGCGGCTCAGTGCAGCAGTGGCAGGGGAGGAGTAGCGCGCAACTACAGCGTCGTACAAGGTCTGAGCACTCTTGTACTGGCTAAAGTGCGCGCGCTCAGCGGTAGGCAGGTGGCGACGCACAGCAAGACGTGCAGCAGCATCGCGCGTGGCCCACTGAGAGCGAACAGTGGCGTCAGCATCAGCAGCAGGGGCAGGGACGGCGCCAGAGGTGAGGTCAAAGAGAGACAGACTGTCGGCCCTGTCGCACTATAAAAACAGCTGCAGGTCGTCGAGCCAGACCTCAAAGTCAATGGCTCGACCCTCAGCGTCAAAAGCGAGGACACTGGGTGTAGCCATGACGACGACAGTGGCGCAGTGCAAGCAGTAGGGAAAGGGTACGCAGTGACAGCAGTGCAGTGCTCACCGGGCAGGTCGGGCGGCTCGGGAGGAAGGTCGCCCGGCGACACAGCCGCTAGGCTGCTGGGCGGCTCGGCTCCCGGACGGCTCTGCTGCTGCCGGGCGGCTCGGCTGCTGCTGGGCGGCTCGGCGGCTCCTGGGCGGCTCGGTTGCTGCTGGGCGGCTCGGCGGCTCCGGGCGGCTCGGCTGCTGCTGGGCGGCTAGGCGGCTCCGGGCGGCTGGGCTGCTGCTGGGCGGCTCGGCTGCTGCGGGGCGGCTCGGTGGCTCCTGGGCGGCTCGGCTGCTCCGGGCGGCTTGGCTGCTACTGGGCAGCGTAGGTAGGGCGGCCGGGCGGGCCGCAGGTAGGGCGGCGGGTAGGCCGCAGGTAGGGCGGCGGGACGGCCGCAGGTAGGGCGGCGGACGGCCACAGGTAGGGCGGCGGGGAGGCCGTAGGCAGAGCGGCGGGTGGGCCGCGACAGAGTGGCGGGGCCGCTCGAAGGAGTGGCGGGGCCGCGACGAAGTGGCGGGGCCGCGACTGGGTGGCGGGGCCGCTCGAAGGGGGTGGCGGGGCCGCGACGGAGTGGCGGGGCCGCGACAGAGTGGCGGGGCCGCGACGAAGGGGCGGGGCCGCTCGAAGGGGTGGCGGGGCCGCTACGGAGTGGCGGGGCCGCGCGTAGGGGTAGTGGGGCCGCGACTGGGTGGCGGGGCCGCGACGGGACGGCGGGGCCGCTAGCAAGGGCGGCGGGTGGGCCGCTAAGGTAGGGCGGCGGCTGGGCCGCGAGTAGGGCGGCGGTCGGGCCGCGAAGTAGGGCGGCGGGGCCGCGAAGGAAAAGGGCGACTCGGAGGGTCGCTAAAAAAAAGGCGCGCGCCTCGGGCGCGCTTCGGTGGGCCCTAAAGAACAGTCCCTAGGATGGGACCTGCTCTGATTCCATGTGAAAGAAAGAACGAGAATGGGTGCAGTATGAAATGAAGTGAGTACAAATATGAAACCCTAATTGGGTTGTACCCCCTATGGGATACCCCACTATAGCCTACATAAAAGAGTAAGCTATAATGTTCTGACAAGTAGCTGGTGGGGCGGCTGACTTCAGGGTGAGGTGACTCGAACGGGTGGTACAGCGGGCACCGGGTGGGTCAGCGGGGAGGGGTGAGACGGTAGCGCAGCTGACGAGCTGCGCGTGCGAGCGGCTATTGCTGCGCGTGCATGCAGCTATGGCCGCGCGTGCATGCTGCTAATGCCGTGCGTGCGTGCAGCTAATGCTGCACGTGCATGCGGCGAATGATGCGCGTGCGCGCGGTCGCATGTGCGGCTACGATTCCACGTGCGCATGCGTCTGCTGCGCGCTAGTGGGCTGGCGAGCTACGCATGGGGCAGAGAACGGGTGAAGCGGGGGTGCGAAAACTGGTGATGCACGGGGCAAAACAGGTGACGCGAGCAGGGCAAACGGGCGCTATGGACTAGATCGGGGCACGGGGTGGTGGGCCCATAGGACGGTCTAGATCTATACCATGTTACAATACTAAGTTAACTAGGAACCGGGGTTTACTGAGGGCCTAGGCTTAGTAGCCTAGGCCAAGCGGGTGTCGAGGTGGTTGTCACCAAGGAGAATTGAAGAATGTGTGTTGTTCATGTCGCAATATATATTCATATATGTTTTTAACTGCCTGTAGCTTTAGCTCTCGTGTAGTTATGTTTTCTTGTTGGTGGTGCACCCTTGCTAGTTTGCTATATGTACCTTATGTGCTATAGTGAACAACATACATTCCCACTTTCTTTTGGCCACGATTCTCTCGACACTCGGTTGGCCTAGGCTTAGGCCCTAAACTCGGTTCCTAGTTAGCTTAGGATTCTGACATGGTATAGAGCTAGACCGTCCTATGGGCCCACCGCCCCGTGCCCCGATCTAGTCCATAGCGCCCATTTTGCCCTGCTCGCGTCACCCGTTTTGCCCCGTGCGTAGCTCGCCAACCCACTAGAGCACAGCAGACGCATGCGCACGTGCAGTCGTAGTCGCACATGCGACCGCACGCACGCGCAGCATTAGCCGCATGCACGTGCAGCATTGGCCGCAGGCACGCGCGACATTAGCAGCACGCACGCGCGGCCATAGCTGCACGCACGCGCAACAATAGCCGCACGCACACGCACACGCAGCTCGTCAGCTGCGCTACCGTTTCACCCGTCCCCGCTGACCCACCCGGTGCCCGTTGTACCATCCGTTTCAGTCACCTCACCCTGAAGTCAGCCGCCCCACCAGCTACTCTACCCCGCCCAGAACCGTACAGCACCGCGGAGAATCGGGAATGAAAGGGACGGCGGCCGTGGCGGTCATCGCGGCCCTTCCCCCCTCCCCCCCCCCATCCCGCTTTCTTCCCTCCCGTCGTCTCGCTCCGCCCGTCGCATTCCCCTGCCCCCCTGCCCGTCACCCCCCCGGTCACGACTGTTCGCGGGTGCAGCGGCGGTCGCTGTGGGTGGGAGAGGGAGGAGGGGAAGGGATTGGTGGCAGAATGCTGTGGGGGGGAGAGGGAAAGGGGGAAGGGAGTGGCGGCGGAATGCTGTGGGGGAGAGAGGAAAAGGGGGAAGGGAGTGGCAGCGGAATGCTGTGGGGGAGAGAGGAACAGGGGGAAGGGAGTGGTGGCGGAACACCAGCACCAGGCACCAGCACCAGCGCCAGCCGCCAGCACCAGCACCAGCGCCGTCACGCCAGCACCAGACACCAGCACCAGCGCCAGCCGGCAGCACCAGGCACCAGCACCAGCGCCACCAGCCAGCACCAGGGACCAACACCAGTGCCAGCGCCAGCACCAGGCACCAGCACCAGCACGAGCTGCCAGCACCAGGTACCAGCACCAGGTACCAGCACCAGGTACCAGCACCACGCACCAGCACCGGCGCCAGCCGCCAGCACCAGGCACCAGCGCCAGCCGCCAGCACGAGGCACCAGCGCCAGCCGCCAGCACCAGGCACCAGCACCAGCGCCAGCCGCCAGCACCAGGCACCGGCACAAGCACCAGCGCCAGCCACCAGCACCAGGCACAAGCACCAGCTCCAGCCACCAGCACCAGGCACCAGCACCGACGCTAGTGACCAGCACAGCTCCAGCACCGTCACGCCAGCACCAGGCAACAGCACTAGCACCAGCGCAAGCCGCCAGCACCAGCACCAGCTCCAGCGACAGCTGTCAGCACCAGCATTAGCTCCAGCGCCGCAACGCCAGCACCAGGCACCAGCACCAGCGCCGTCACGCCAGCACCAGGCGCCAGCACCAGCCGCCAGCACCAGCACCAGCACCAGCACCAGCCCTAGCGCCAGCCGCCAGCACCAGGCACCAGCACCAGGCACCAGCCCTACCTGTGACCAGCAGCCCCACTAGTGACCAGCAGCCCCACCTGTAACCAGCAGCCCCACCTGTGACCAGCAGCCCCACCTGTGACCAACAGCCCCACCTGTGACCAGCAGCCCCACCTGAGACCAGCAGCCCCACCTGTGACCAGCAGCCCCACCTGTGACCAGCAGCCTCACCTGTGACCAGCAGCCCCACCTGTGACCAGCAGCCCCACCTGTGACCAGCAGCCCCACCTGTGACCAGCAGCCCCACCTGTGACCAGCAGCCCCACCTGTGACCAGCAGCCCCACCTATGACCAGCAGTCCCACCTGTGACCAGCAGCCCCACCCATGACCAGCAGCCCCACTTGTGACCAGCAGCCCCACCTGTGACCAGCAGCCCCACCTGTGAAGAACTCGACAGGGACCATCGTGGGTGGGGAGGGGACTGGAGGAATAAAGGGGGGGAGGGAGTGCGGTTCCAGGGGGCGATTGAAATGGGGGGTGAGGTTACAGGGGGTTGGTTGATTGGGGGTGGGGATGTGGGGGTTAGTAAGAGGGGACGCTGCGGCCACCCCCCCACCTCCACTCCTCATCCCCCACTCAACCCCCCCCTGTGTAAAAGGGGGTTAGTAAGAGGGGATTCCGCGGCCACCCCCCCACCTCCTCTCCTCATCTCTCACTCAACTACTCCTTTGTTCTTATCTCCTCTCCTCTCCTTTCTCTCTCTCGCCTCCTCCTCCTCACTTACCTCTCTACCGTCTTTCACAACGCTTGCAATACCCCTTCAGGGGGTGTGACTTACTCTAGCTATATGTTGCAGGCAGTTAAGGGGGTGTGTCGCAATATATATTTATATATGTTTATAACTATCTGTAGCTTTAGCTCTAGTGTAGTTATGTCTCCAACTATGTTGGTGGTGCACCCTTGCTAGTTTGCTATATGTACCTTGTGTGCTATAGTGAACAACACACATTGTCACTTTCTCTTGACCACGATTCTCTCGACACCCGGTTGGCCTAGGCTTCTAAGCCTAGGCCCTAAACCCGGTTCCTAGTTAGCTTAGGATTCTGACAGTTCACTATAGCACACAAGGTACATATAGCAAACTAGCAAAGGTGTACCACCAACAAGAAAACATAACTACACTAGAGCTAAAGCTACAAGCAGTTATAAACATAAACATATATATATCGCGACAGGCCAGTCCAGAAGCATCTGCGTGACCAGTGAGGACAACTCAAGCCCGTCCTCCAAGCACTAGCCCCATGCCCGACGTACTGCACAGGTAGTGCAACACCCTCTTTGCTGCAGCCATGTGCTCTGGTCGGTGTCTCCCAGGAGCAACATATCGTGCGAGAATGCTAAGAGGGTATGCCAGGTCAGGTCGAGTGCAGGTCATGAGGTACATGAGGCAGCCAACAAGCTCTGGGTACGGGCCACTCGGCTCTACGGACTCATCCGAAGGGAGAGCTGAGAGCGAGTGGCAAGTAGACAGAGGAGTGGCCTGAGGCGAGGAGTATGTGAAGTCGAAGCGCTGAAGCACCTACTGCACCATGTGTGACTAAGCCAGGGTAATGGTGCGCCGTGCTCTGTCCCGGGTGATCTACAAGCCAAGGTAGCTGCGCAGTTCACCCAGGCCTGTCCATGTGTATCTCTTCTGAAGCTCCGACTTCACGTGGGCGAGTCCAGTAGTGTAAGCAGTAGCAAAGACCAAGTCGTCGACGTACACGAGGATGTAGAGCGGTGGCAAAGAGGTGTCGGTGCGTAGAAACAGCGACGGGTCGGTAGTAGAAGGAGCAAACCCAATAGCCGCAAGTGTAGTTCTCAGTGTGTCGTACCACTCACGAGGCACCTGTCGGAGACCGTAGACTGGCCACCGGAGGCTCCATTGGGTACCTGAAGGAAGCGACCCAGTGAAGCCAGGTGGGCGGCGCAGCCAGATCTCCTCGTGCAGGCTGCCGTAGAGGAAAGCAGTGCTCAAGTCAAGAGAGTGAAGCTCGTAGTCGCGCTGAGCTGCTATGTGCAGCAGTACCTGAAGAGTGGTCATCTTCGGGGTGGGAGAGAAGGTATGAAAGTAGTCAACTCCCTGCCGCTGGCTGAAGCCTTGAGCCACGTAACGCGCCTTGAAGACATGCAGCGAACCCGGCGGCCGCTTCACCCTGAAAATCCACATGCCACTGACGATGTTCGCCCCAGGTGGGGGAACCTAGTCGACGTAGGTGCCTGTGGACTTGCAGGAAGCCATCTCTGCGTCCATGGCTGACTGCCACTAAGAGGAGTAGGGACCCTCTATCGCCTCTGCGTAAGAGCGCGGAGTCGGGATGTCTGGTGCATCCGGGTCTCCCTCAGGTGCAATAAGCATGGACACGAGATGCGGTACAGCGGCTGCGAAGCAAACAAAGTCCTCTTGCCTGTCCTCAAGGACGTCCGTGCTAAGAGCACACTCACCCCCGACGGACGTAGGACAGACAGACTCAGACTCAGCAACAAGACTAGCGGCGTAGTCTAGACGATAGTGAGCAGCGAAGTCGACAAGCTTAGCAACTAAGGCAGACGCAGCAGTGGACTCAAAGGAAGGGTCAGTGACAACAGTAGCCAGGAGACGCGCGACAGTAGGACTGGCAGCACGAAGGGAGTCATACTGCGGGTCAGCAAGAGCAGGAAGAGAGGACGCTGGAGGAGACTGCAAAGGGACACGTAGTGGAGCAGTGGAAGGACGCAGTGCCATCTGGTGCGTGCCTGGGACCGCAGGAGGACGCTGACGCAGAACACGATGACCAGTGCGAGCAGCACGAACAGGCGACGCAGGACGAGACGCAGGCTCACGACGCTCAGCAAGACCTCAAGTAGGACCAGTGTAGGGAGAAGGAGCAGGCAGAGGGGAGGCCAGCTGTAACTGTGACTCGGACAGGACAGGCGGTGGACACTCTAAGGAAGGAGCAGGACCAGTAGAGGGCGGAAGACCAAGAACCTGCTCAAGGAGCGGAACGAAGGACGGCCCTGGCCGCGTAGCACCTCCAGAACCAGCAGGGACAGCACCAGCACCCCCAGCGTCAGCTCCGACTCCCGCAGCTCCACCAGCTCCAGCAGCACCACCAGCCGCTCTAGGAGTGCTGACTCCATTACCCACAGGAGCACCACCTCTAGCAGCACCCCCAGCTCCAGTACATCCAGCAGCCTTAGCTCTAGCAGGACCACCGGAAGACGCAACAGCTCCAGCTCCAGTACCTTAAGCAGCACCCACTCTAGCAGCATCGCCAGCTCCAGCATCGTCAGCAGCTCCAGCACCAGGAGAACCACCAGGCCCAGCAGCTTAAGTACCTCCAGTACGAGCACCTCCAGGACCCGTGGCTCCAGCACCCCCAATAGCAGTAGAACCTCCAGCTCCGGCAGCACCACCAGCTCCAGCAGTACGGCTCCAGCGCCGAGCAAATCACCCGCGCAGCTCCTGTGGAGAGGGTAGCTCCCGCCGGGATGAAGCACCCGAAGGAACTCCAGGCCCAGCACCGCTAGACTCCACACGAGCAGGCCCAGCACCCTCAGGCTCCGCACCCCTAAACTCAGCAACCCCAAGCCCAAAGTCTGGTGAGACAGGAGACGACACGAGCAGGGGGCAGACTCAGGACCAGACCTGGACGCTGTAGTAAACACCTGACCCGACGCAACTACCTGACCAGACGCAGAAACCGGAGGAGACTCGGTAGTCAGTGTGTACAGGCTCGACCCTGGCTGACGGTTAAACATGGCCAAGTGTCGGCCTGTCTGAGCACACGTGCAGTGGGGTCACTCGCTGACTCGCAGGAGTGAACTGGTCAACCCACGCGTCCTGAAGGTCAGCACCACTCACCAAGTTCGTAGAGAACGAGGGGAGGTAAAGACCGGACAGGGAGCCAGAAGGGGCCGCCGGACACTGTAGGATAGTGGAGTAGTGGGCAAGGACAGGACCCCCAGAGGGGTCTGCCACGGAGACTGCAACCGGCCGACTAAGCGGCGTGAGTGCGGTGCAGTCTTGAAAGAAGGAGCGGGAAGCACCCGAGTCAAGGGTGAAGGTGTGTAAGACCGCAGCAGGCGTAGTACCAGAGAGAGCAGACTCACCAGCACCTGGAGCAGTAGACTCACGAGCACCTAGAGCAGCAGCCTCACCAGCACCTGGAGCAGGAGACGCACCAGCACCTAGAGCAGCAGCCTCACCAGTACCTAGAGCAGTAGACTCGATACCGGGGTCAGGCGGCACACACAGGTAACAGGCACCCTCAGCACTAGTAGGCAATGCATACATGGCAGTGAGGATAGCATCATAGTCAAGAGCATAGATATCTACCCTCTGCCTAAGCAGCTCCACCCAGTCGGGGAGCTCAGCCGCGTCGCCAAACTCGTCGCGTAAGGCGTCGGTAAGGCGGTTGAAGCAGCGGTGCTGAGTGTGAGACCTCCTGCATCTCTGACCAGTGCGGTCACCTGTGCGAATGACATACGGGCAGGGACCACTACCCCCAGCCGCCCCACGCTGAGCAAACCACTCATGGAGCTCTTGATACGAAAAGGGCTGACGGTGCTGCTGCCTCTGGCCACCTCCATGGCCTCCCCTTTTGCTGGTACTACCCCTGCCGCCACCACTGCCTCCGCCTCCACCCCCACTGCCGCCACCGCCGTCGCCACAACCGCTGCCTCCACCACTCCCACTGCCGCCACCAGCGTCGCCACCTGCCCCTCCGCCCCCACCACCACTACCTCCTCCACCGCCGCCCCCTCCACCGCCTCCACCACCCCCACCACCGCCTCCACCTCTGCCACCCCCACCACTCTTGCCCCCCTTGCCCCTGCCGTTGCGGCGCCTCCCACTAGGGGCAGACGCAACTCCTACCTCCTCAGCACGAAGGTAGTCAACAGCTGCAGCAGAGGCGACTGAGGGGAGAAGGGGGGAGGGCGAACACCCCTTAAAGAAGGGGGTGCGAGGAGTGCCACGAGAAGCACCTACAGTGACTATGCTAGTCTCAGTGGCTAGGAGGTGCTTCTCAAGCAGGTCGACAGTGAGCTCGGTGGGGTCAAGTGCTAGGAGGAGGTTCCTGACTGCAGTAAGAGAGTCTGGGAGGCGGGTGACTTTGAAGTAGAGCGTGATGTACATGGGGGGGGAGGGGGGGTTCTTGGTGAGAAACTCGGCGGGGAGCGTAGCATGGTATCAAGTGTCACTAGTGCGGAGGTGAGTGACTAGGTCGGCTACTGTGGCAAAGGCGGACAGGTCTGGGAACAGGTAGGGCAGGAGAAGTCGGCCTAGAGCAGTAGTGGCCGGGGAGGAGTAACGAGCGACTACAGCGTCGTACTGTGCTTTAGCTGTCTTATGCTGGCGAAAGTGGGTGCGTTCGGCTAATGGCAGGTGGTTGCGAATGGCTAGACGAGCAGCAGCGTCACGGGTATGCGACTGTGAGCGGGTTGCATGGTCAGCTGTTGCGTCAGAGGCGGGCGAGGCGCTAGAAGTGAGGTCAAACAGCGAAGTACCGTCCTTAGAGTCTGTCAGCAGGAACAGCTGTAAGTCGTCTAGCCATGCGTTGAACTCTATCAGGCGGCCCTCCGAATCGAAGGTGAGAACGTTGAGAGTGGCCATAGCAGGCAGAGCAGACGAGCGCGCTAGCAGCAGAGCAGCATGCTAGCAGCAGTTCAGTAGGGGGCGTGGTAGCAGCAGTGCAGTAGTGAGCAGCGCACGATAGGGCAGGGTGCGCACGGCAGAGCAGAGCGCGCGGCACGCGGCAGGGCAGAGCGCGGCGCTCAGGAAGGGCGCGCGGGCAGGGCACGGGCAGGGCGCGGGCAGGGCAGGGCGCGCGGCGGCGCGGCGCGCGAGCAGGGCAGAGAGCACGGCGGCGCGGCGCGCGGGCAGGGCAGAGCGCGCGGCGGCGCGGCGCACGGGCAGGGCAGAGCGCGTGGCGGCGCGGCGCGTGGGCAGGGCAGGGCACTCCGCGGTGCGGCACGCGGGCAAGGCAGGGCGTGCGGGCAGGGCAGGGCGCGCAGCGGCTCAGCGCTCAGGCAGGGCATGCGCGGCAGCGCGATGCGCGGGCAGGGCAGGGCGATGCAGTAGTAGGCGCGCGACTCAGTAGGGCGCGCTGCAGCAGGCGGCGCGCTAGCAAAGCAGTACGTGCTGCTGCGGGCGGCGCCAGGCAGGGCAGGGCAGTACGACATGATCACACTAGCGCGACGGGTGGGGTAGCACTACTCAATGGGCCCTAAGAGATTGGTCCTAGGCTAGGACCTGCTCTAAAACCATGTCAGAATAATGAAGAGGAATGAATGAACTAGTGGCAGGATGGGTACAAGTAGGAAACCCTAATCTGTGTTGTACCCCATATGGGCTACCCGACTACAGCCTACACAACAAGCAGCACATATAGTTTGACATGCCTGTTATATGAAAGCACAAAAAGTAAATCAGCTTTATGCCTTGCGACTAAATTAACACTGCCTTAGGATTTTTGTCTTCCTTTTCCACACTTTTCCTCTCGCCAGTGAAGCTTGCTCTTCAGATTCTCACGCTAGTCACGCTCCACCTAACTACTAGGTGAGAAGATCTAGAACTAAGTTAGATGTTACTTGCTAGACCTAAGCACGTTCTTAATAGCTATGACGACCCATAATATAGCTCGGTCGATGTTGCTGTTCTCGTTCGATGTTGCTGTTGTTCATAATTTAGAAGCCTCAGCCACTTTACCTTAGCATCTAGATCGCTAAGTAGTTCCTAACTAGTGCTCCTCACTTATTGGTATGATCAATTTTTGTCCGATTTTATCTCTAAAAACCATCTCATTAATTTTGTCCATGTTCACGTTTCATTGTTAAATCGTTCAATTCAAATAGGTTTCTTTCTTTTTTTCTTTCTTATCATCTTATACGTCCCTCCTTCAGTTCACGTGCTACCTACGCACCATCTACTTCGTATTAAAGTGATGATATAAGTACATGTTTGCTCGTTGTTTTATCACTCCTCTCTCACTCTCATCTTGTTCTTTATCTTCTTTTCAGTATTCTTCTTCTTCTCGTTCTTGTTTCCTGTCCTTTAGTTAGTAGTGTTTCTGCTAGATTATGTTGATGTTCTTTCTTGCATTCCCTCTACCTTCTTGCGGTTATTGTTTTGACTCTGCTCTGGTGAGAGTTGGGGTGACTATATGTGTGTGTGTGTATGTCTACGTGTATTCAGCTATACCCATTCATTCATTGCATTAGCAATGCCTGTCTGTGGGTCTGCCTATCATTTCCGAGAACGTTCTTTGCCCAGTCAGTGAGTATGTTCACTTGAATGGGACTCAATGGAACTTATCATTTTTTCAGGATACACATATTGTGTTGTATTTATGTGATAGTTGTATGACTTAAATGCTACGCTATTGACTTCCCCCCCATGCTGAGCAGGGGATGCGGTAGCCTAGTTGTTTAGGTCTTATAACTATCAAGCATTTCTATCATTTACTGGCATACATACTGTGAGAATAGTACGAGGCAATGGATTGGACTAGGAAACAGGTGGGTACAAGTAGTGAACCTAAAAGTGTTGTACCCCATATTATCTACCTCACTACAGCCTACACAGACTATAGCATATAAGTTTGACACACCCCCATAGGCAAAGTGGGGGAGAACAAGAGGTCACAAGACCAGTCAAGAAGAGCAAAGCAAGCTCAGGGTGGGTCACGACGTCACCACACATTCTGAGCACAAGCAAACGGCCACAATGCCAGTTCACACGCAGAGTTATATAAAGTAGAACAAACAAGAGAGTGATCCCAACGTAGCAAGTGTAAGCATGCAGGTATATATAGAGAGATCACAGTACAAGCAAAGTGAAGAAGTGAGCAAGTAAGGCCAAGTGGGGACAAGGCCTAGAACAGTACAGAACCGCTGATGATCACAATGTCAGAATCCCAACCACTAGACCATTGGGATAAAAGGGCTTGTTTCAGTAGCGGGTCAGTGCGCCCATAATCCCCCAGGCGAACACGCCTGTAACCCTCTCCAGGATCAATCGGACATCCACAGTGCAGATCTACTGACACCCCCCCACAGTGGGAGGCCCAGGACTAAGCACAGCGGCAACGGCATACATATGCATACACCAGGAATCGAACCCGAGACCGCTCTGATACCATGTCAGAATCCCAACCACTAGACCATTGGGATAAAAGGGCTTGTTTCAATAGCGGGTCAGTGCGCCCATAACCCCCCAGGCGAACGCGCCTGTAACCCTCTCCAGGATCAATCGGGCATCCACAGTGCAGATCTACTGACACACAAGGCCGAAATGCCATGGTGAAGATATCAGCCGTGTTGGCCTGAGAGGCCACGTAAACAAGACGAAGCTGACCACACTACTGCAACTCTTGAGCAAGAAAGTAGCAAAGGGACCCGAGCACCTCGGGGAGCGCAGCAGCCAGGGGGCCAGCCGGAGGTGACCCGAGCACCCCAGGGAGAGCAGCAGGCAAGGGGGCCGCCGGGGGCGACCGGAGCACCGCAGCGAGAGCAGCAGGCAGGGGGGCAGCCGGGGTTGACCGGATCACCCCAGGGAGAGCAGCAGCCAGGGAGGCAGCCGGGGGCGACGGGGGCACCCCAGGGAGTGCAGCAGTCAGGGGGGCAGCCGAGGGTGACCCAAGCACCCGAGGGAGAGCAGCAGGCATGGGGGCAGCCAGCGGCGACCAAAGCATCCCTGAGAGAGCAGCCGCAAGTGGGGCAGCCGGGGCACAGTGGCGGAGCACCCCAGGGAGAGCAGCAGCCAAGGGGGCAGCCGGGGGTGACCGGTGCACCCCAGGGAACGCAGCGGCCAGGTGGGCAGCCAGGTGCGACTGGTGGATCCCAGGGAGAGCAGCGGCCAGGGGGGGAGCTGATGGACGACCTGGAGCAGCAGTTGGTGGAGTGGAGCCGACGTTTAGAGTTAGATACTCCCATGGCGACTGCGGAGGAACCAGAGGAAGACGGGGAGCCTTCCATACCGCCTTCCCCATGCCCTCGTTTTCCATGTGACACGTGTTTTCACACGTTCGCTATGCGAGGGGCCGCTGCGAACCACATGAGGGTATGCAGGGCGGCTGAGGCGGAGAGGCGCGCGCAGGCACTTGGCTCGATCCCGTCCCTGGTGGAGACCGACACGCAGGAGAGACCGACGCCGCGGGACTTTGGGGACGAGGCGTGGGCCGGGGTTACGTCATGGGAGTGGGAAGCATTTTTCAGTGTGGAGGCGGTTGGAGGGAGGACAGTGCGCCGGATCCCACAGCGGGCCCGTGAGATACAAGTCGCACGGCAGGACAGTGCTTCCTTGTATCTCCGTGCGGGCCCTTTCGTACAGAGTCTTGAGTCGGCACGAGGTTCGCGGCAGGGGGGCCCGCTCAGCCCTTTTCTTTTTGCGTTCACGCAGCAGCAAGTGATGGCGTCGGTGATTAGAGAGTTCAGGGATATACTTTTCCTGAGTTATGCGGACAATACCTACATCCTAGGACCAGCGGCTAGGATCTTAGAGGCTTTTGGGGTGCTGCGGGAGCGGTTGGAGTGGGTGGGGCTGGAGGTGCAGGCGCAGAAGTGCCGGTTTTGGGAGCGCGAAGGCGGGGATGTGGAGCGGGCACTGCCATTAGGGATGCAGCGGGTGGAGGAGGGTCTCACTGTGGTGGGCGTACCTATTGGGGAGGAGGATTGGGAGGTGGCCCGATTACGGGAGCGGCTTCGACAGTTGCAGGGGCCATTGCCATGGCTCCCCCTGCTTGACCACCCCCAGATGGCTTCACATCTCCTCGCCATTGCAGTTTCAGCACGGCCGATGTACCTGGCCCGGACTATGTCACCGCGTCCGGAGGTGGTGGAGGCCCTTAGGGATTGGGACACCTGTCTGGAGGATTGCTTCGAGTAGCTTTTCCCACCTGGCACTTGGGAGCAGGACCCCGATCGGTCTAGGCACGCGCGCATGCAGCTGCATCTTCCCGTGCGACTCCGAGGGTTCGGGATTAGGGCGGCGGCCTCTTTGAGCCCGCTGTCCTATGTTTGTGGGTGGGAGCAGGCCGCGCGTGATGTTGCATAGTTGGGGGTGGCGGGGGAAGAGGCGATGTTTGCAGAGTACCTCACCACCTCGGGAGGGGCGGAGCTTCTTGACCCTTGGTTTGCCAGCGACTATACGCCAGGAGATGCCAGGCTTACCTCTGTGTGCAGCGGCTCCCCCTCTTCGACTTTTCCAGGCACGGCAGCGGCAGTTGGCTGTAGAGGAGCTCCAAGCACTGCGCCGCTCGGCTCGTGACGATGCCACCTTGGCCCGTTTCACATCCCTACAGGGCCCGGGGGCTGGTGCATGGGTTTTGGCGGTCCCGGCTCACTCAGATCTCACATTCACTATGGCGGAGTGGGGCATTGCTGCTGGTATACGGCTCGGTCTCCCCATTCAGCAGCTGCAGGTCGCGGGGAGGTGTGCTTGTGGCACAGCGTATGTTGACCCAGCAGACCCGCATCATGCCTTGAGATGCAAGCACCAGCACGGTCCATCTCGGGTGCATGATGAGGTGAAATTTGCGGTGGCGAGGATCTCTAAGGCGTCAGGGGGGGTGGTGACGATGGAGGATGGTGTGGTGCTGCCGGGGAAGCGGGTTGACGTGGCGGTGCGACGACCAATGGCCGGGGAGGCTCACGCTATAGAGATCAGCGTCGTGGACCCGCTATCGCTGTCCCCATCTCTGCTAGGGCAGTGCGGTCGTTCTATTGGTGTGGCGGCAAGGGAGTGGGAGCGTCCCAAAATGACTGATTACGCGCCTCTGCTTGCGCGCAACCAGGGCGTGAAGTTCACTCCGTTGATAGTAGAGACGTGGGGATGTCTTGGCGGGCGTTTCCGGCCGTGGCTTCGACGACAGGGGGATGCACACGTGGGGCTAGCCGTGTTACGGGGGGCTTGTCGGGAGGATGACTTTTCGTTTTCGGCTTATCTTTTGGGGTCTCTGAAGGCGCTCATTGGGGTAGCATTACAACGGGCGCAAGCTCATGGCATCCTGCTTCGAGCGGCGTCTTCTATGGGGGGGATGAATGTGGACTTGGTGGACCGGGAGAAGGACGACGTCGAGGAGGAGGGTGGGGCTCTTTGGGTGGAGGCCCCGTATATGGTGGATGCGCAAATGTGAAATGGGGTGCGGGATAGGGTGTGTTCATGGGGTGTCCTGACTGGGTGTTCAGTTTGGGTATTTTGATGAGGTTTTATAAGGGTTTTGCATTTGGCATGAAGACCATGAGAGCGGTACTACACATCGAAATTACTCAATAATAGGCTCGATATCTAGGAGGCTCCACAACTTAGAAATTAGGGTACTTTATTGTACTGAATTACCGAAGTACAGAGATCCGAGGGGCGGGTGTGGTATTCGCTTCAGGGTAAAGTAGCGAAGAGCGATGTGAGGATCTAGGATCGAGCTCAGAAAATAGAAAGTGAATTGAATTGAATTGAATGATCACCTGGGTACAACACGAGGCTATGTATAGGCTCGACACAAGGCCCCGTAACCAGGTGTTACGCGAAGGTTACGCGGGTCGCGAAGCGTCCCGAACAGATCCTTACCGAATTCGGTAGAAGGCAATTGGGTGGCAACCGAAAAGCCAGAATTCGGTGCACGCAACCTAGCTCGGTGCTATAACTATAATAAAATATAGGAAAGCACCTAGCCTAGGAAATCAAGCAATTCATGCATGCATATAATTATCCTATGCTAGAAATAGCATAATAAAGTAAAGGCAAGCAAGCATAGCTGGCATAAGCCGTCGTACTCTCACACGTCCCCCCCTCAAAGCTGGGTGGCGTGAGATACACCCTGCTTGACAAGATAGTCCATGAGAGCACGGCGTGCGTTGCCCATATCAGCTTCTGCAACCCAACTGTCCTCAGTGGGGTCGTATCCCTTCCAGCGTATCAGGAACTCGAGGGTCTTGCCGCTGCGGCGCCGATGAGTGAGAACGCGCTCCACTTCGTACTCTGGTTCATCCTGCACAAGAACAAATGGAGGTGGCGGTAGCTGCCGTCCCTGGAACTATTGGTTGGGGTCCTTGTAGGGTTTCAGTAGCTGCACATGGAAAGCATTGTGAAGCTTCCACGTATCTGGTAAGGGCAAGCGGAATGTAACTGGTGTCACCTGTACCTCAACGAGAAAAGGACCACAGAAGCGAGGCCGGAGTTTGGATGGGAGGTGAGACAGGTTCTAGTTGCGCGTGTCAAGAAGCACCTGATCTTCGACTGCTACTGAGTGATCACGTCACTGACGATCGGCATACTGCTTCTGGGAGGTCTGCATCGTGTTGAGTCGTCGCTGAGTCTTCTCCCATAGCTGCTGCATGGTGGTGACGAAGTCATGTGCGGCTTGGACGTGTGCTGGTGTGGTAGGCTGTTGTGGTGTGAGTGGTTCCCGTCCGTAACACAGGAAGAAAGGAGTTTTCCCTGTGGCCGCATGTGACGCGTTGTTGTAAGCGAACTCTAGGGTCGGTAACTGTATGTTCCAGTGGCTGACGTTGTCCTTGCAAACTGTGCGCACTAACTGTTCAACCACTTGATTGAGTCGCTCTGTCTGTCCGTCAGTTTGTGGGTGGTATGCTGAGGACATCACAAGTTTAGTCCCCAATAATCCCATGAGCTCCTTCCATAACTTACTCGTGAATTTTGGGTCTCTGTCTGAGATGAGTGTAGCGGGGACGCCGTGGATGGTGATGATGCGGTCGAAGAAGAGGCGAGCAGTTGCTTCTGCTGTGGCGGTGGCGTTGGTCAGTAGGAAGTGTCCCATTTTGGAGAACTTATCAATGACTACGAGGATGGAATCATGTCCCCGTGAGGTCGAGGGAAGTCCTGTGATGAAGTCGAGACTAACGACCTGCCATGGCTGCTCCGGTACGGGTAGAGGCTGAAGTAATCCTGCTTTTTTCTGTTTGCTGCTCTTCATCCGCTGGCACGTGTCGCAGGAGGTGACGAGGTGCTGCACATCTGTTGCCATCCGGGGCCAGTAGTAATACTTCGCTATTCCCGCTAACGTCTTGTTGCTCCCAAAATGTCCCGCGTATGGTACGTCGTGGAACTCCTCCAATAGGATCTGCCGTAGCGGGGCGTAATTCGGTACCCAAATCTTTCCTGAACCCTTCCTTACAACTAGGTCTTTCTCCCACTGCAACAGCTTCTGTTTCTCTGCCGTTGCTATCTCGCCGTCCACGAAGTACCCATGTTGGAATAGACCCTTGAGTAGAGGGTTCATCCCATCGAGCTGGATGCCTGCTACATGACCTGGGCGGCTTAACGCGTCTACTTTGTTGTGTAGCCCGGGTTTGTAGATGATGTTGTAGTGGAAGTGGGTCTCCAAGAAATCCATCCATTGCACCTGTCGTCGTGAGAGCGTTGGCCGTGACTTCAGGTATTTGAGGCTGCAGTGGTCAGTATAGAGTGTGGTCTTGGCTCCCTCTAGATAACACCTCCACGCTTTGAAGGATACAACTATCGCTAGGGCTTCCTTGTTGTGGATGGGGTAGTTTAGTTCTGCTCCGTGCAGCTTCTTACTGAGGTATGCGATGGGCTGCAAACCGCGTCCGTGATCCTGCATCAGTACTGCTCCAACTGCTTGGTCACTAGCGTCTGCTTCCACCACGTAGTCCTTGTCTGGATCCGGTAAGATGAGTACGGGGGCTGTGGTGTCAGAATATCATTCTTATGTTCTAGCCTGTAGTGGGGTGCTCTATAGCGAGTACAACCCTTCTAGGGTTTGCTATTTGTATCCCCATTTCTGCTAGTTCATTCCTCTTTCTTCTTCTAACTTTTGTCATGTGGTTAGTGCTCTCTGCAGCTGCTCCATGGCTTGCTGATGAGGGGTATCCCATTTGTAGGGCGTATCCTTTTTCAGTAGGTCGGTCAGTGGCGCTGCAATCTTAGCGTACTGTGGCACGAACCTATTGTAGTAGTTGGCGAATCCTAGCAACTGTTGCAACTCCTTCATGTTCTCCAGAACTTTCCACTTCTTGACGGCTTTTATCTTCCGCGGGTCCACGTGTACGCCCTCGGCACTCACCATGTGCCCAAGAAACTGCACCTTCTTCAGGGCGAAGTCGCTCTTCGACAGCTTCAGGTAGAACTGGTTTTTCCGTAGGATCTCGAACACCTTCCGCAGATGCTCCGCGTGCTCCTTCATGTTCTTGGAGTAGATGAGGATATCGTCCAGGTACACCACTACGCACTCGTCCAGCAGGGGCCGTAGAATATGGTTCATTTCCGCTTGGAACGTTGCTGGTGCGTTGCAGAGTCCGAACGGCATCACCAAGTATTCGTAGGAGCCGTATCGAGTACGGAACGCCGTCTTGTGGATCGAGTTGTCCGCCATCTTGATCTGCCAGTAACCCGACCGTAGGTCCAGCTTCGAGAAGACTGTTGCACCACGCAGTTGGTCCAGTAATTCGGCAATGCGCGGTATGGGGTATTTGTTTTTAACTGTCTGTTTGTTTAGTGCGCGGTAGTCGATGCACATCCGTAAGTTGCCGTCTGGTTTTGGAGTGAAGAGAACTGGTGCACTATAGGGAGAGGTGGATGGGCGGATCAGTTGTCTGTCTAGTAGATACTCTATCTGTTTCTTCATGTCTGTCTGTTCGGTCGGACTCAGTCGGTATGGAGCACGTGAGATGGGTTTCGCACCTGGTTCCTCCACGATCTCGTGCTCGTAGGTGCGTGCTGGAGGTACGCTTGCAGGTAGGTCGTCGGACATTATATCCTTGTATTGCTCCAAGACCTCCTTCACTGCTGCAAGGAGCTCGGAAATCGGCTTCTCCTCCTCTGCTGCTGCCATGACCAGTGCTAGGTAACCCGTGTTACTCTCGTTCACTGTCTGTTCGAACCGTGCCAGTGTCGTCTCAGGAACGCTCCCTGTATCCGTCCAGCTTCGCAGCTCCACTCGTTTCCCGTTGTTGTAGATGCACACCTTCCTGTTGACCCAGTCGATCTCGGGGTTGAACCGCTTCAAGAAATCTCGCCCCAAGATGAAATCTAATCCCTTGATGTTCGTGATCGGCAACGTCGGCTTCCACCTCAACGCCCCTATGTGCAGCTGCAGTGATGCTTTGCCGTGGATGGGAAGCTTCGTACCGTCCATCATCGTTGCTGTAAACTGGGTTTCTTCTGAGGATTCTCCAATCTTCTCCAACGTCCCGCGGTCGCATACCGAGTGGGACGCACCACTGTCCACTAGGGCCTGGAGGCGACGCCCGTTGCAGATCACCTCGAGTACTAGTGGTTGCTGCTGCTCCGAGTATCCGTAGATGGTATCGCTTATAGGATCGGAGGGTACGTCGAATATGTTATCCCTAGGTCCTACGCTCGAAGATGCAGCTTCAGTATCAAATTTCAATTGAGAAAGGTTAGAAGGATTTATTCGAGGCCGATTCAGCTTCTCTTGGGCCTGGAACCTTCCACTAAGCCTTTGCAGCTGTGTAGGCTTCATCTGTGGGGAACAGGGAGCCTTTAAACAGTGCTGCTGGGAGAGAATATTAACTCCTCGGAACGCTCGACCCGTATTAGCGCTCTTGAGTAGGGTCCCCATAATACCCGGTACCGGTTTAATTTCTGACTCTCCCTTAATAAAGGCTTGAAACACACGAGAAGTAATAATCTTACTTGTCAGGGTATACGGCTGGAGTTTCCCGGTCGGTGCAGGGCCTTGTTTCGCGGATCCTCCATTAGTCTCGGCGATATCCCCTGGTGCCAGCTGGTCGTGACGTTTTAAATTTGTGCCACCATATTCTCCTTTTTTCGCCCTCTTCGAAGTTGCCACGTTGTCCGTTTTCTGCTTTGGGGGTGCCGCACTGTTCTTGTCCTTCAGCCCCGCACACCTTCTCTTCATTTTCCAACACGCCAAGATACGATGTCCTGTAGCGCCGCAAAATTTGCAAGTCTCATTATTTGCAAGCCGCTGCTCCACATCGCTCTCATCGTTCTCCATCGGGTCGGCAGTCGTGGGTGGTGCCAATCGCCCCATGCCACTAGTTGGCTTGTTGCGTCGTATTCCGTAGTAGCTACTGTTCAACGTGTCGAACTGTTCGATCAGTGCTGCCGGAAACTGCGCCCACGTCCCCTCGCCTTGGACTAGTCTGTTGTTGATCCACTCTAGAGCTGGGC